GTTAGAGGAAGGATAGTTGGTCAAGCAGATGGTGGAATAAGTCAGCGGCAAATTTTGCAGAATTTGGGAATCCTGCTTTCGACAGTCAAAAGAATCATCGTGCAGTTCAGGAAACATGGCAAGGAAACAACTGAGCAGCGTCCGGGTCTTCCCGGTCCATCAGAGAGGACAAAAAGGGCTGTCAAGAGGAGCATCGAAATGGATCCCAGATTAACGACTGCAGAAGTGGTCAAAGTTGGTGGGATGAGCCCAAAATCTGTTCAATGGATTCTCCACAGATTGGGTTATCATTGCAGAGCAGCTAGACGGAAGCCCTTATTAAGACCTGCCAACATAGTCAGACGAAAGAAGTGGGCAAGTGATATGATGACCAAGCATCTGGACTTTTGGAAGACCGTATTGTTCTCAGACGAATCAATATTCGCTAAATTTTCGGACAGTGGAAGGATATGGGTCTGGATAATGCCTCACCAAGAGTTTTGGCTCAACAGATTGCAGCCAACTGTGAAGCATGGTGGTTTCAGCGTGATGGTTTGGGGAGCTATTTGGGTTGGTGGGAGATCGAGCTTAGTGGAGTGCGTTGGCACAATAAATTTCCGAAATATGTCGAAATATTGGAGGAAGGACTCTTGCCACTTTATTCCTCGGGTTTCGTAAAACACAAAGTTGTTCCAGGAAGATGGAGCACCGTGTCACACTGCTAGAAACACCCAAAGTGGCAGGAAGACAATGGTATCCAGAAGTTGCTCTGGCCGAGCCAATCTCCTGACATGAACCCCATCGAAAACCTCTGGGTCATACTCGACCGGCAAGTCAAGAAACAACCAAAAAACACCAACTTCGAAGAGCGATCTACTCCAAGTTTTGAAGCAGGAGTGGGCGAAAATCCCACAATCTAAAATTAACGAGATGATTCTCATGATGCCTCAAAGGATCAACGAACTCCACGAAGTGAAAGGAAGATCTACTAGATATTAATTAAATTATAAATATATCAATTCATGTGAATATGACTGAAAATTTTAATTTTTTCTGAAAAGGTGGTGTCTATTTACTTATGACCACACTGTGTATATTGTTGATTCTTACTCTCGAGAATCTTCTACAACTTTAGAGAATAGCCGGGAGTTTCACAATACAGATTTAACAGTATAAGCTATGTATGTTTCTAAATATAAATTTAATCTAAACAAAATATTGATACCAAAATAAACATATAATAACAAATTTGTTACAATAGAAGCTGTAAATGCCATAATTTTGTTTAATAATTTCAAGAGGCACTGGAAACAACAACATAAAAAAAAGTGAAACAACATCAGTGCATTTGACAGGTACATCTGTCTTCTTCAAGGATAAAGGTGAAATGGACTTTTAAAGTTTGGACAACAATTTGAAAAACAAGATGTAACTGATTGCCAAAGAGTGGGACAGAGCCATGTATTAGTTACATGAATATGGATGACTTTACATGCCATGAGGAACAAATAACAACTTGAAATCTGTGTCAAGAATAGATAAACACAGAACAGCTCACCAATATCATTTATTTGTTTTATTTCATATTATTTTAATTTAATTTTTACTCAGTACAAAACCAAGACAAACATAGTACAAAATATGATGACTTTCTTGAATATATATTAGTTTTGTTTGTCATATAAGTTGTGAAGTTTCATGAATTTGCAGATCTCATAAGCATACTATATTTTTCATTCCTACCTCCATATTTAATATAAATTTTTCAAAATATTTGTACATACTGATCACGTATTATTAATACAGAATGTAGGTAAAGGGTGCCACTCAGTAACTCTCATTGGAAAGATTTCTGTAACAAAGAAAATGCTGTATAGAAATAAACAGCAATCCTTTCCACTGAGAAATCCAGTGATTCTTCAAGGGTACAATATCCTTTACTTGGTGTAAGAGTAACAATCGGTCATGTCAATAGCATCTGTGCCCTAAGAAGAATGGAATTTTTGTCATATATACAATTCCATGATTTCTCAGCCTGGAATTGAATCAGATAGAATGATTTAAGATTACTGCAAATATTGGTTTGCTTTAAAAACACTGAGAGCTCTTCAATAAAGGTGCTGCACAATATACTTGTTTTTAACTTTAGTTGTGTATGTCCAAAATAAAAATTGTTTCACTGTGCTGTATATTGAATACATGGCTTTTTTTTTTACTTGAAACACAGTCAAAATCTCTTGTCATTCTGTGGCTCCTACCCGATTACTCTTAAATGAAGTCAATGAAGTTGAGAATACCACAACAGCAAACACCATCACAAGGTCAGTAGCTATGCTGTAGACATTTGTAGTTAATTTTAGCTTGAGCCACAATATATTTTTGTTTGTCAGAAAACACCATAAATTTCAGAGAAAATTTATTTTCCACTATCAGTGAGTTGAAGTAGGTTGAAAAGTTTTTTTTTGTTTTTATTAGTTTAAAGAATAAGTGAAAATTCTTGAATTGTTGATGGTACCAAATTACATGAGGAAGTTTGTTACATATTTTAGTAGTAGAGTGAAGACAATTAGCCATTGGATGTTGTTGGCTTTTTAAACCTACCTATTACACTGAAAGCCTTCATAACCTCTCTGTATTATGGTTTTTAAGTTACTTTGTAATTGTTTTCATCAGTACAAAATTCTTATTTGGACTTTAAGAGTTTCAAAGCCATTAAAATTAAACATTAAGATTACTGTAGATTGGAGAAAGCTACATACATCCAGATGGGAACATTCATAGTACAAGCAAAAAGAAAAATCCTGAAAAGACTATCTGAACTATAATATTTACAGTACATACCATACTTTGAATCACTAATCTTGTTGTATAGTAAAGAGTAGCCTCTGATTTCAAGCAGGAAGAGTATATTGGTAAACAATGCCATAACTGGAATTGACCGCAATGTATAAAAAATCTCTTTTTGTACTTGCTTCTGTAATTGATAGAGAAAAAAAAAACAGAAAAAGGAAATTAACATTTTCTTAAATTAAAAATTTATTTCCAGTAAAACTTACCTCCCCTCACACTTACAGCTATTACTTGACTGCCAGGATTTCTTCCTTTGCCTGTCCAGGAAATAGTCTGATTTTTTCTTGCTTGCTCCAGTCTTTTATACCCCACTTAACTGCCCTTGGCAATATTTTTCTCATGAAACTCTCCACTTACATCAATGCACCCTCTATCCTGGTACTGTGTAAAAGTACCTCATTCAGATAACGTTATTGCTTTTTCAAGACTGACTTAATCTGCAGTCTCTAACACCAGCTTTTGGTAGGGAGGAATGGTGGGAGAGTGTGGGAAGAGGCAAGTTTATTGGAAATACATTTTCAATTTAAGAAAATGTTAACTTCCAAAACATACTTACAGCTAGAATACCACATTGAGAAGGTGTAGGGGGCCAGTGAGAGCATTATTCATGCAGAAAGCATCTGCACAGATCATGGGTGTGTCAATAGTAGATTGACATGCTAGTCAGCGAGCTGCACTACATTCAGAACAGGTATGTTCTTCATCCGGAACTTAATTCATGTATTGTGGGTGGAATGTTACATGATTCATCAGTAGTATTGGCCAGGCCCGAACCAGATGGCCGAGGTTCCACTGTTAAGGGTTAGAATTATAGGACCATAGTCTCTATATCCCACGTTGGTGGCTAGGGCAATTGGGCCGTAAGATATATATATATTTGTGAGTGGATCACAACCTGTAGCCATAAATTGATGTGTTCTGAGCCACCAGAATCATGAACAAAAGGTAAGCAATGCCAAAGTGGACAGTCCTTCTCCTCAACCTGAAGAAGTCTGAAAGACAACATCCCAGGCTTGGAATCACGGGATCTTGTATTAAATACTCAACCTGGTAAAACAGAACTCATCCAGTCTGAAATTATGAACACTCATCTTAACTCCCCAACCATGTGGGCAAGATAAATTCCACTTGCCACCGGAATTATGTTCAAGATGTGGAAAACTGTGCTCAACCAAGGACCCAGGATAGAACCACTCTACTTTCAGGATTACGAGGAGACAATGAAGTCTCTGCCATGAATAATGTACTGAACCAATAGTGATCAAAGAGAAGGACCACACTCAACCCAGCTGGACCACACTCAAATCTGATCTTGTATTATGAGTAGGCTCCCACTTAGGCTGGTGCCTCTCCTACCAAAATCTAGAAAAAACATCCAAGAGTGGAGGCAATTCACTTTAACACTCTGGAGGAAAGCCTCTGTCCACCACCCACTTACTGGAAACTAGGTGTGGTAAGGACTCCCTAGCTTCACTAGCAGAATCTGGGGGTAATGCTCGTTGGGAAGCCCTGAGGAACAGTGCAATAGGTGAACCAAGTTCCCTAAATTTTAAAAGCAAACTGACTAGGATTTATGCAATTCAATGATTGGCAGGGATGGGCTGAATCCCCTTATGCTTTACTCATGACAGTCCATGAGTGGCAGTCCAGTATAGTACAATAATACCTCTAGATGGTCTTATGGAACACCCCGTTTCTACAGAGCCTGTTGCAACCTAGATAAAGTATATTGAATTAGTGGTTGCTAGAGCGGAATTGGTTTGATAAAAGCACACCTGCCTGGGCAAAATTCATCAGAGTGTGATCTTGTAAAAATGAGGTAAGGGACCCTGAAAGATAAAGAAGAGAAGAAGAGACAAGTGTAGCAATGTATTTCTCACCCCTCTGTATAATCTAGTGGAAGGCATTAAGAGAGATACAGGGGGTAGTCAAACACCATATAATGCAAATAATGTGAGACAAAAGTATTGAGGAAAGTCCATTAACCAGCCTGCACAATGTCTTCCAGTGGGCAATTCAACCAGGCTACTAAGGACATAGAAATGTCATGAATCTGATTAGATATGACTTGCAGAAGATTCCTTGCCTTCAAAGAATAAGCAATAAACCCAGAATAAGCAATATGGAACAATTTCATACTCACCTCCTCAAAATAACTGAAGATGAATCCTGGGAAACTGTTCCCTAAGAATAAAAAGCTGTTGTAAAACCTCTCTAAAGGCATAAGTGTGGGCAACAAAACCTTCACTGGACCAAACAAATGATCAAATTCTCATCGGTCATAGAAGTGAGAAATAGTGATCAGATGAATCATTGAAAAGTATTTATCCCCTTCCATGGCTGAAAGTGTCTTAGGGAAGAAGAACTGGTCTGAGGATGTAGGTAGAATGATAAAGCATCCTGTGGACAATCAGCGCAACCACTCCAAACAGTGATATTGATAGGTTAACAGCAACACAAAATAACCCTTCAGATAAAAGTGATACATGGCATACGAGGCTAAAGTCACAAATGGATGTTGAGAATGGACACACAATGTAACCCTAATATACCAGTTAGGTAACTGGAAAAGTCATTTGGGACAAAGGACCCAAAGCAACTTGAGGAAGCCAGAGAGTGGCGGGGACTCAAATAAATTTTGTCTTGAGTATTGAACAGTAGTCTATAAGGCTACCTTATGCAGGACGAGTGTGGAAAATGCAAAACCCTCGTCAAAGAGCCAGGTCAAATAACAAGTCATTGTTGGCATGTCTGGGTGAAGTGAGTTCAACATCCTCTCAATACACCATTGCCGAAATGTGTGCCATTTATGTTGAGAAATGTCTATTGCAGGACTAAGCAAAGCCTGAGACAGGTACATGGCAACCCTAGAAATTAAGCACTGACACCATGCAAAATAGAGCATAACCTCCATGCCTGGAACTTGAGCTTCTAGATAGCTGGGTGTACCATGTCAGATCATGGTTGCCTTCACAGAGATGGTGAAAGATGGGAAAATAGTGGAAGAGGTGGGTACTCCTTAAGGTACTGCAGAAGCAGAAACCAGGGTGTATTTGCCAATCTGGTGCTATCAAAAGGGTTCAACAATGGGTCAGAACAATTCACAGTGAGTACCCAAAGATGAGGTACTGGAAACCAAATTGCCACTAGTTGGGTGTTTCAATGAGTGATCAACCCACGAATAATCAGTGTTTCAAAAAGAGAGCCAATCTAACAGAAAGCCTTGCAATGTAGCATCTATTCTGTTGGGAGAATCTACTTGGGTTGAGACAATTGGTCTGCTACTGCAGTCATCACCTATGGAACATGGCAAGCTAGTTGGGTGATATGATAAGGTTAGTCCTGATAAAGTAGATCCATGGTTTGAAAACAAGGAGCCCTGGACCAAGTGCCCTTTGATGAGAAATGCAAGACACCACCATAAAATTGTCGTAATGAAGCCTGATGATGTTCCTCTTAATAAGCCCAGATCATAAGGCATCACCTTTTGAAGAGTGATGAACTAAAACATTGTGTAGGTAAACCTCGTTGTCCGTGCACAGACCCTGGAATTCCTGACTGTTAAGATCTTCACCCCATCCCTGAAGCAAGGGATTCGTGAAGATATCGATCAATGGACAAAGTGGTGGCAGAGGAACCCAGATCTTAGTAATGTCCCAACTTTACAACCCCTAGAGAAAGAAGAGCAATCCTAAATAAGTAAACTGGGAATCCAGTGAATCGATGTTTATGATCTCTTGATCACATAAAGACCATTGAAAGGATCTCTTATACATTCATCCCAAAGGCATGAGAGATTGGAATAATGCCCACATTCCTGAAAGAGAAAGAACCATCTGTGCAGTGGGAGAAAAAGAGAGGAGTAACATTCGGGCTTCGTGTTCCATAGTATGGAGCCGGATGGAAGTTGGCTGAGCTCGACTGAGATATGTGATAAAAAAAATACCCAGACTGATGACATATTGAATTGGAGCAAGAATAGATGTCTTAGCTCTTAGAATGAAGCCTAACTTGGTTGTTCTGAAAGTAGAATCCAGGTATGACATTCAGACATTTGATGAGATGGTGCCAGCAGTAACCAGTCATCCATTGAATGGTGTGTGCACAGGGCTAGGGAATGAAGGTGACAAAAAAAAAGCTTAAACGAATTGCCAAAACCCATATGATGCCAAAGCTAGTCTGAAGGTAAAAACCCTGAACTGCAGTACTTGTTCCTTGTGCACAAAAAATGCCGAATGTGGAGGAACACCTCTACTATGGCAATGTGCAGATAGGAGCTGACTAAATCAAACTTGAACATCCACAATCCTAGTAAAAATTCCAACTCAGATTGAGGAATGAGTCACTTGTGAACCTTGGAGAATTTAGGCATTGATGTAGATGAGAAAAATTAATGACTGGATACCAATCACCTATCTTCTTAGGCCCAACAACTGATGGGAATAAAACCCCAGAAGAACATGCATGATAATCTCTCTCTCTACCCCAGATCAAACAAATTCTGATAGCCATAAAACTAAATTCTAATATCTGAGGATCTGCGGAAGATAGAAACCCTACAGGATGGATGGATAAGGTGGTGAAGATGTGAATAGAATGACTAATCCTGGCTCAAGGACCTGTATGCCCATGGATCCATAGTTAAAGTTACCCCACATCCAGAAATTCTCATTGTGGAGCCTCCACAGTCCCCAAAGGCATACAAATGTGATGTACCAACTAAGCAGCAGAACCTGTAGATACTGACATAATCTATTTTCTTGGTACCTATGAACAGAGGAGCTGCTGTCGGGGATCAGGACTATCGAAAAGGGGCAGAACTATGACCCTCTGTAGGAACCAATGAAAGCCTAGGTGCCAACGACTACAGGGATGAATGTAGAAATTGACAATCGAACCAATGTGAAAAGCTAACAATGGTTTCAGCTCATCATCAATGAAGTTAGTGATCCTGAGAGTCTTCCAACAAGGTTTAGTGTTAGGAAAACACGTTGGATGTGAGAGTTTTAAGTCCGTAGACATACCTGTCCTACCAGGAGACATTGATCTATTCAGGTTAACTACAAACTCCACTTTAGAACCACTAATTTCGAGAAGCACATGTATTATTTGAGTCGGAATATACTATCCCCTGGTGGTGGTAGGCTAAATCACATTGTTCCAATAACCATGGCAGATAAGGCATAGCTATCCTGTCACATAACCGAGCAGTAAAATCTCCCTTCAAAAACCACAATGACCATGAATGGAGAGAAAATGATATATTCCCTACCAGATCTTACAGCCATCAAGTAAGTATAGGCTCAAAAGCTTCTTGGAAAAGACTCAAAACATCACACTTGATGGACCAACAGAAGAAAACAATTCAGAAGCAGCTGATCTCAAAGTGGCTTCCTTTTTGATGTCTTTTAAAGAATGTTCTGATTACCATGTTTGGAACAACATGTTGTTAGGTAAGTTTGTTTTCTTAGAGCAAAAAAATGTTGAGCCATCTGCTATGTCTACGATAGGGAATCAAACCTTGAACTTCTGTATTGTAAGTCCATAAACTTACTAATGTCCCACATGGAGACTGAGAAGCTAACAGAATAAATGAAGCCACATGAAAAACCAAAGCTAAATTCTCTCCAGAATGTCCAGGATCGCTTTCAATTGCTGCCTCAGAGCCCCCTAGAAGAAAACCACTGAATTGAATATATGTCTCCATCTCACTACAAATAAGATCACTGACAATCTCGACTGAGAGTGATTTTCTACACCCCCCCACCCCATGACTGTTGAGCAACACTAGATATCAAAGGTGGGATAGAAGAAATGTGATTTGCCCCTGTGCCAGAAATTATAATCCAGGAATTTATATCATACATTGGCTTGCTAATCATTTTGTTTTTTTTTACAAAAATTAAGTAGGTGATGCTAAGAATGCTCAAAGTATGACGAACGATCATAGTATGGAAAGAACCCATTCATGAACACTTTGTCAAGAAAAAGTGATAATATCTGAACGAGGTGCTTTTATACAGTACCAGGATAGAGGGTGCACTGATGTAGGTAGAGAGTGTCACAAGACAAATATCACCAAGGGCAATTAAATGGGGTATAAAAGACTGGAGCAAGCAATAAAAAATCAGACCAATGCTTAGTTGGGCAAAGGAAGAAACCCTGGCAGCCAAGTAATAGCTGTAAGTGTGAGAGAGAGTAAGTATGTTTTGGAATATCACTAAATTTAGTAACAATTAAAAAAAGTTTATTACTGTAGTATCATCATTGTGCAAAAAGAACACATATCTTAACATGAAATAACAATCTATACTTACATGTAACACCTGGGGATGTTTTAGCAGTCTTTTATCATATATAAAGCAGTAGTTGAAAGATGCTGGGATAAAATACACAAGAGTTCCACCAAGAGTTATCACTACATTTAATGTTAGAAATTGTCGCCAGATGTCACCTTCAGACCACCAAGATGGATACACGAAAGGTGTGAAAACATGCTTGTCACACACTTGTAAAACTACATCCATTTTTTTCCACTGATTGTTTATCTTCTAAAAAAAAAGGAAGTTACCAAAATTATTATTCTAATAATTCAGTAAAATATTTTTCCAAAACATAGAAAAAACTTCATTAAAACTTCATCTTGGATATATATACTTATGTATGAAGAAAGATTTCTTTACTTTAAAAATTATTGTGTAGAATTCCGAAACGTTTATCCATGTCCCCTTTTTGTCAATAAACAATGTTGTTTATCATAAGTGACGTAATCTTGTTTATAATCAAACTTCGTTTTCCTTCAAACACATCGATTGCTAATACAAGAAGAGTAAATTGTATAATCATTACAAATACTGAGAATGCATCTGCTTTAATTCAGATATATTTAACATAAGCTACCTCTGTGTTAAAATTATTTTCTTTAACCACAACACTAATCATCATCTCAAAAAAAAGACCTTTATCTTACAGTAAGAAACTAATTTTCCAATTAATGACTCACAGTCTCAAAAAAGTATCAAAGTGCCTCAGAATAAGAAAGACTGAAATATTTCTAAATTCACTGATGATATAAAATGCTGGGAAGAGCCAATTAATTACTTGTAATACAAGAAAGAAATTTACATGCAAGATTTGGAAGGTGACATATTTTAATAAAGATACATAAAGCATGAAAAAATCCAATGTAAAACCTTAACAAGTGAAAGTTACAAAAAAATATTCCTTTTCAGCTGATAGTATTAGCACAGACTTGTTGTGAAATTAATAATTAACAAAATAATTAGCTGAATTAACGTGAATGACCAGACTTTGAAAAAATTAAGCATACTAACTACATACATGATTTTGTAGGTTAAAAGACTAAAATGTTACATGTAAGCATTTCAAAATTATGGCTAAACATATAACATTTTTATCTTACAATAAAAAAGCCTGATAGAAAAAGTTTTAAAGATGCTGCAACAATCATAAATCAGTGTAAATATATATTTTTTCTTTAAATTGGTTTGAATTAGCAGATCCTCAAACTATAATGTATTATTGTAACCTTTTTTATTGTTGAGTTGGTTCTTTTCATTCTGTAAAAATAATGCAAAGTCCAGTCCATTTAATAAAAAGTTTGTCTTTGTTCTAGCACAAACAAACAGATATCTTGGAGAATCAAATCATAGATTTTAGTGTTGTATGTACTTAAAGTTACTGTTGACCCACCAGGTTATTTCATAAAAAGTGTTTTATTTCTTCCATTGAAAGTTTTACAACTTATGTAGTTTCACGTACTAATGATGACCAAGCAATTGGTCCAACACACAAATAAAACTTAACAGTCACTTAGTTGTTCAATTCCTCCTCATATTTGTGCCACAAACTAAATAAAAATTTACAGCACCAGACTGACTAACTAACTAGCTCACTGTCTGATTACCTCATTAAATGACTAACTAAAGAACAGATTAACTAACTCACTGTTTAACTGGCTAACTCAGTAACTAATTGATTAACTCTTTATGTTTTTATACAGGTAGACAATCCCAAGTCCAGCAACACAAAAACTAGAATGTTTCAGAAACCAGCTATTCTAGTGAACACTCTATTAGTTTGGAGAAATTCCTTATACCCAGACTTTTTCTAGTTACTGATGCACACTTCTGACTTGAAATTACTGAAAACTACACTAAAAATTACTGTAGAAATAGGTAAATACAAATAAGTGAAAATTTCTTAATTACTGGCATAGCTGCTTTGTTTGGAGGACATGGCGAGTCGATGTACATGCAGTCACAGTTCAAACCTCACCTTTAGTTGTGCAGCTTTCTCTCTGTGTTAACTTGAATTTTTACTCCTTTGTTCATCATCAAAATGTCCAAAAGGCAAGCAAATAGTCCTGTAGCTGGTGGAAATGTCAAGAGAAAGTATTTTTCTGTAAGTATTGCAAAGAAGGTGGGAACACTGAAGAAATTAGAGAAGGAAGCCTCAGTGAAGAGGAGGTTGAGTGATGGGTATAGGGTTGGTATCTCCACCATTTATGACTTCAGAAAACAAAAAGCTCAGTTATTGAAATTTTATGCTGACGGTGAAGTACCAAAGTTTATGTAAAAACAAAAAATATTGCATCAACTTAAAAACACTTAGCTGGACAGAGTGTTGTATGAGTGGATAAAAGTTTGTAGGAGTGAGAAGGATCCTTTGCATGATGGTATGTTCATGGTACAAGCCAAGGTATTTCAGAGGAATTAGGCTTAACAATCCCATGCAACTAATAATCAGACTGGTTCACAAATTCAAGAAATGCTATGTCTTATATGATTGTTGAAAGTGTGTGGGGAAAAAATATCAGTTAACCATGAAGCTGCCGTGGCCTACTTGGAGGAATTATCCAAGATGATTTTTGATGATGATTTATTGCCCGAGCAGGTGAAAATAATGCTGATGAAATATCTTTATACTGGCAGTATACACAAGATGTTTACTGCATATGATTCAGCACCCTCTAAAGTTAAGAACAAAGACAAAAAGGGCTTACAGACGAATAATCCAACACTGGTGATGTTTATTGGATCAGCTCTGACCCATAGACTGTAATAAATGTTTTCACAGATTCAAAGTGCAATCTTATTACTCTGGGGAATTCTTGTTATAAACACTGTATAATATAAAATGTGGTAAATTCCACATGGTGTTTTCAGACCAGGTATCAAGTCAACTTATTTCTGTGTGTGCATGCCTTGTTGCTCTTGAGAGTATTGTATTACAGTGTGATGTAAACAGTCTAATGACACAAACAGTGATTTGTTACTTTATTTTCAGCAAATTTCTACTTCAGTCATTGAAAGTAAAATAAATGTGAAATATTTAGCAGTTCAAACTCTGAAGAGAAGTGTTTTGAAACTTTGTGACCAGTAATAAAGAAAAAAAAGGCAAAACTAATCCACTCCTGAGATCTTCTGTTGACAACACTCTATGTTAAGGGAATGTGCAACTCATAAACACCCATGTCCTGTAAACACCAAAAAAATGGAGGGCCTTAAAATTCAAAAATTTAGTACTATAATTATGTAATTCAGCTTTGCATGGCTCATTTTTGATATTAAAAGCACCTTGCTATATAGAGCATTTTGATGCAATGTTGAAGTTCTACTGTATTTGGTGGTTTTCCTGTGGTACAAGAATGGGATGACCTCTTGTCCTTTATTGTAACTTTCTGCCTTGTCACTGGGGAGTTCTTTCAATGTAGATGGTCAAAAGAGTCCACTGATGGTTTTGTTCTTGGTAATACTCTAAAAGTCATCTTGACATGAACCCTGGGCTCTTCAACAGGTTGACTTATCTCTAACAAAGTCTTCTACAAAGTTAACCAGTTTGCTGTTCTCTCACCAACATACTTCCAAAGATGATAACCTTTGGCTTGGAATGCTTATCCTTCTGGATTCTGTAAACAAATAATTGATTCTCTTAAGTGCAACATATGGTTCTTCTCAACACCTACTTAACTTCAGAGTTCATTCTCATTTTCAGCCATGTTGAAATCCAGTCATACGAACATTAACATCATAGTGCTTTTTCGTCTTAGCACTAGCTGATTAAGTCTTTTTTGGGAAAAGCATAAATAGCATTTTTTAGTCTTTCTCCATATTCTGTGTAAGAGTCTGCTAAGTGATTATCTTCAGGCAAAAATAGAAGGTCCAATGGTACTTGGAGTTCTCGCCCACACATTGGTGACATTGAGATATTGTCTATAGCCTAATATTTTCTGTACGATAACTCACAAGTGGCAGTGGATGATCTTAATCTCATGTTTTCTTAGATATATGCACATAAATGACTAGCTGATTTAAAAGTGTATAGTTGTATTTCTCTACCATTCCATCAATTGGTAAATGAAGGGCTGTTGCCTTGTTTTTGTTTTTCATAAGCATCTCTATATCTATCTCACTGACAAGTTTCCTTGCTAGAGTTACTGATTCCTGTTTAGGAACAACATGTGCTACTGACCATTTTGTGAAACAGTCCATCCCCACACTGAAATATTTATTTCAAGAACAACATAGTTCACATAACTTACAACAATTCTTTACAGATTTCTGGCATCCAACCCAAGGGTGGCATTCTTTTACTCACTCTGGTGATGTTAACACTTAAGCGTGTCTAGATACTGAAATATTGTGGAGATGACAGAATGTTTCTAAGTGAAGTGACTATGGAAGTGCCAACTATAGTCATAGTTTCAGTTCACCGGTATCTTTATTTTTTGATATAACAAGCCTTCACATAAGCATAATGAATTCCACTATATCTTTGTCTTTGGGCAATATGAAGAATTTGTTTGCCATGAAGAAATTGTTTTGCACTATTCTAGATCCACTGAATAATTGGTTTCAGACTTGTATCTTTTGCCTGAGTATCTTTCAGTTGAGTATATGATAACAATATTTCTTAATCATCACTTGTAAATGTCCCATCTAGGACTCTACTCTGTTGCACTTTAGACTGTTCATCTTTACTACCTTGTTCCTTCTCCTTTTCACAATGTTTACATTCTTCATTCATACACAGTTTTCAGGGTAATGCATGAGCATTCTCTATGGTTCTCATGAAGTTTCTAGAGCCATCTTGCTATGTGGCTTCTTGCATTACAAATATTCCCCAGCCACTTCAATTCTACATAATTTGTCCAGGTTTTGTCCATATAATAATGATAGAAATGGTATTTACTTATTGAAAAGGGTTCAAAGAAGGGCTACAAAGACTGTTGCTTGTACAAAAGCATGGGACATTCTAGTTCTGTAACATAGCATCAATGACAAATTGGCCATCATCAACAATAGCTTCACCCACACAATAATGAGTAATTCCAGGAATTGTTTATTAACATCTAAAATAACTTACACGAGACAATTCATAAGTACGGAACGAGTCACATTCACATGCTCAGCAGTAAATCCAATCAAGCAATGATAGATTAAAATGTAAATGGTATCCCAGCTGGTTTGCAAGTCTCTGGATTGAGCAAAATGCATCATCAGTAATGGATATGACAAAAATAGTATG